CTTAAGAGAAAAGTGACGTAAGTTGATATCAACTTGGTAAAAGCTTGTAGGAGCTTACACACTTTAATCTTCTCAATTCCTTTCTTCTTTTTATTCTCGTTCCTCACATTGTCTGTTTCCTAGTATCACCTTTACATCCAACACCTTTTTTTTTGTCCTGTAGATCATGGACTGTGTGAGTTAACTTTAATAAGTAGTGTTTTTAATCAAAGTTTTGATAAGGTGTACTGGCAGAATATATAAAGCTGAATTAAAAATAAAATGAAGTCCTTTAAGATTGTAAAGGGAATTGATAGTGTTGATGTATCATCTTTTTTTATATTTAACAATGAGAATAGTAGGACTAGGGGACACAAATATAAATTTTGGCAAGGTAGGAGTCATCTTCAGCCAAGACAGTTTTATTTTACTAATAGGGTGGTTGGCCTTTGGAATGGGTTGCCTTCAGATGTTGTAGAGGCAGTAAATTTAAGAAAAAGCTTGATAAGTATCTGAATGAAAAGGGCTAGATTTAAAATTTTATTTTATTTTTTTTAATCATTTTAATTTAGTTTTGAGGATGGACCAATAGGTCCCATGTTGTTCCATATAATTATGTTATGTTATTCTTAAGTACACACAGATCACTTGCCCTGTTGTTCTTTATTTGTGTTGTTAACTGTGATTTTAATTATTACTTTATGTGTGATCTTATGTCTTGTCTCTTTCAATATAACTTATCTGTTGCGACTCAAAAGGGAATACATTTACGAGCCATTGACACAATAACTCCTGTTATTAGCAGGCCTAACTTTCTATTCTTCTGGTTAACCTGAGAGATACTACAGGTGTAGGATGCTGTAGGTCTGTTTTCAAATTTGAAAAATTTCTTATTCTACAGGTGAGGCATACAAATAAAAAGCTGAGCAGGGGCACATGGTGTCTTCCATGCAGTTGATCTGAATTATATACCTATCTTTTCTGGTGAATAATGTAGAATGGCAACTCTCAAGTTTGCCTGGATAAACCTAACAAAGTCAATTAAACTAAGTTTCTTGAACATTCCAATAATTCTATCTTCGAAGTTAAAAGACCTCCAGTGTTCGGTACTTATAAGCTAATTATCTTGTTTCAACAATAACAGTTCTTAATAAGAACAATAAATGTAATGATGTATACTTACAAATTATTTTGCTGCAATTACTGGAATACCAATCATGTTAAAAATTTGAAGAAGCAGTTGAAAAGATTTCGTTATGCTAATCATAGTTTCTTTAAGGTTTACTTCCTCATTTTTCCAATTATTCAAGTAGAGATGACAACATAAGCCTGATAAACTTCCCTTAATTTTGTTTTTGAGGAAAATATTTTATTCTAAGAGAATAAAAAACTCCAGCAAGAATACAATGTTTTATTTACAATATTGCACCTAATTATCCCCACACCCCACAATCATAGAGATCAGGGAGCAGTACTGGTAACTGATAAATGTCATGTAGGCCACGATTTTACCACCTTTTTTCGTCGTAGTATCAAACTTCAAAGTCGCTTTGGCAGCGCAGATCTAAGGAGGTTTCCCGGTACATGGCAGGACTACTTCACAAGATTTTTTGACACTTATAAACAATGATTACCATACTTGCTGCAATAGTGAGATCTGATGTTTATAGCAAAGCTAGAAATAAATAGGCTATGTTTGTTATCACTTATTATAGATATATTTGTTTATAATAGAGGAATTATCATATGACCCAATTAGTCTCTACTTAGTGCCCCCTTTTGCAGTTTCCAACACCCCCCAGGGTGTTAATTAGGGGCAATATGGTAGATTCTAATGCATTAGGCTATCATTCATTTACATGTTAAAATTAGAATAACTGTATGCTTTGTAATTCATGATACTTATGTATTACACTTACCTTCTCCAACTAATTCACCCACACAGTTGGGATCTACTTCTTCTGATACTAGAAATCTGTTTAGTCTGACTAGGGATACTCTAGTCTGCAATAAGTACAAGCCTGGTTGTTAGTCTGTGATAACTATTCAACAAGTCAACTATTTCAACAACAAAGAGATATTTCCTAACATTATGAGTGAATTGTTGCAAAATCCTTAAATTTAAAAGATATTTTGTCTTCAAAACCCAAATCACCAGATATTATTCAACCACAAGGTTCATTCATCTAGATAGAAAATATTAAACACAACAATATATATTTAGTTCATGTTATAAATATAAAAAGGTGTACCAGTTTCATAAATATGTATTTATAGTAATGTATTATGTTCATACATCATAACAGGTATTACCATATCTTCATACATTATAAACACTTAAATTTATACCAAAGAAACTGCTTTAATATAAATATCACAAAAACGTTAAAATAGGTACACTCCCATTTCTTAAGTGATTATTACAAATGATCACCTATCTAAAATACTCTAAAAATTTTAGCTGAAAATACCTAATCATAAAAACAATGATCCATTTTTCACAGTGTTTGCAATGCTTCATACATCCTTAAGCAACATGTATAAATGATAAATAAGAAAGACAAATTAACCTTTTAAGTTTATGATACTAAATAATCAAATTCAAATCAATTATCACAAGCAAACTAAGCTACCATAACTTGAATGCCACAACTACCAGTTTTAAATTAAATGATTTTTAAGGATAGAATTTCACAGAACTCTTGAAGTACAGTATATAAACATTTTATGAAGTTAGAAATTATTCTAGGGAAGCAATTACTAAGAATAGAGAGAATCCTGATCCATCATTTTGGTTACTGGGCAGATGCTTTGATCAATTAACTTCACAATATATAAGATGTTTGAAATTGGCCAACAAATACTAATTTGGACTGTTAGCTTTACAAGCAAACTGATCTGGTTCAAGAATCCTGCCAATTTCCATCCTTAATATCAAGAAAAGAAAAATGAGTCTTGTTGTAATTTAGCTGGATAAAGCATCTTGTCACTAATCAGAATCATAGGCTCAAGTTTCACACAAATACCTAAATTCACTGAATGGTGCACCACCCTTAAAATTTTTCCACTGAAAGCCAATAGTATTTGCAATTTTCATAATGAACACTGATACAATTACATGTTTACTGAACAATATCTCTTTGGAAAAATTCAAGCATTAACTCCATGCTATCATTCTGTGGCTTTTGATATTACTAAACACAAATAAAATACATCTTAAAAGTTGTCAACTTTATAAAATATTCAAATATAATTTTACTTTTAGAATAAATTTTAACAAGGAAATATGCAGAAACCCTTCAAAAACAAAAATTATCATAAACAGTATTTTAAAATAACATTCTTATCCATCTTTCAGCTAACAATAATAAATTTGGGATGTTAGTATAATCTAACTACTATGACAAGTGTGAGTACGGCAAAAAAAAAAGAAACAATAGAAAAAATTAATTCTGTGATTTTAACTAATACCTTTTGATCTTGTACACTTAAAATATTTTCCAAGAGTTTATTATCACAGAGTTGACTACCATATTAGCAACTGTATCCTAAAACATTAGAAACTGTATTCACTGAAACACACTAAGAGTCACAGCTGAAAGCTTAGCATAAAACATCCAGATTAAATATGAAATATAATAAAAAATCTGTCCTTCCTTATTTTATGGTATACTGTCTTTCTAAAGTCTGTCAAAAAGGTTATGGAATTGACTGTACTTTATATGTTATTACCTGGACAATATTGGAGATCAGTTCAGGTAGAAGGATCAATGTAAATCTTATCATGTTTAAGAGGGTCAAGGAAACAAATGCTGTGCTGGCATCCAGTATGTTTTCTTCATCCATCAACACATAAGTTACAAAACTTGCTAGTGCAATCTGAAAAAAAAAATAAATATTTAACGTGCAGATGTATGAACCAAAACTATACAAGTATGAAGACTTTATTGGATAAAAATGGATTGATAAACTTACTTATTTCATCACACTTCTCAGAGTGAAGAAGAGTCATTCAATAGGTTTCAATAAACCAAATAAGAAAAGATAAATATATCATAATGGAGTTTTTAAGTGCTTTCTAATTCACCATATAGTAACTTAAATTAATTTAGGTATGTGAATAATATTAAGGCATTACACCTAATTTATTATTTGATATTATACAGCAGACCAACTGTTTAAAGATTCTATATGTATGTTACAAAGTTTTCTTTCTTTTACACAATAGGTAAAATTGTTACAGATGATATTTTCAATTTTATCTTTGGTGAAAAGAAAACAAATTAACATACATATAGAAGTATATCATTAGTTTAATGAGAGGGTGTTTAATAAGTTTTATACTAAAAAGAGGTGTCAATCTTATGCATAAAACAGTTCTTTTTTAATGGAATCAGTTCTATCATCTTATTATGTAACAAGTTGGATGTGCTACGATTAGTAACATAGTGAATCAGGATAAATAACTGAAATACATAAACACAAAAATGGAGTTTGTGTGATGGTTAGAGATTTCATCATAATGCAATTATCATTTATGTATTTCTGATAAAAAACAGCAGCTAAGCTGAAAACTGTGGGCTAAAATTGGTAAAAATAGTGTTTTAATGGATTTTTTTTATAGTACACAATAATCAAAACTGTAGTATAATTGTGTTATTGAAGATTACAGATTATAAATACATAACAAATTGACCCAATTTGTTTTGAGTACCTCAGAAGGTTATGTTGACTGTTAAATGAGAAACAAAGAAAGCTAATTCTCACAAGAGTAAATTGTAGATTGTTAAACTTACATGTAATGATAAAGATTTTATTTCTTAACACACTTGGTTGTTTTGTTTAAATGCATAATATATATATCAAACTGTTTCTCTGTAGCTTGTACAAAAAAGTATTCATTCTGATTTTGGTTGGCTTCTAACAAGAGTCAGATAAACAGAGGTTCAACATTCACATGGATTATTATAGTTATCTTTATCTCACCCCAATCAGATCCCCAATTCTTCTTTTTTCAAGAGAAAACAATTTGAGAGGTTTCAGCCTCTCAGCGTATGACAACTCCTTCATCCCAGGCACCATTCTAGTAAACCTTCCCTGAACCCTTTCCAACAATTCAGTTTTCTTCCTAAGGTAAGGAGCCCAAGACTAAACACACTGTTACGACAGTGGGGGTCACGTGACGAGTATTCTAGAGATTCACTAGTGTGTTATGACAGCGGGGGTCATGTGACGAGTATTCTAAAGGATTCGCTAGTGTGTTACGACAGCGGGAGTCAAGTGACGCTGGTAGCACGTGTTGAGAGTCTTAGAAGTTTCTAGAACAGGCAGTATTATCGTACATAAGTACGCTAGACAGTGAGAGAGACGGACGGAGGCAGAGACAAAGCAGGCAGAGAGAAAGAAAGACAGCGATTACGGTTCGCGGGAACTGAGGATAGCAGACACAGAGATCGGAACTATAGTTGGCGGGGACGGACAATTAAGTCCAAGCGCGATAGAAAGTGAGTGAATTGTTGTGAACTATATTGTGTGTAACTGTGAAAATTAAGTGCATTACAAAGTTGTATTGAGGAAGAATAAACAAGTTTTATAAAGAAAGGACTTGTATCTTAGAAGAATTAACAAACAAACATACAGAGACGTAAAAACACTATTCCAAACGTGGCCTAACTAGTGACCTGTACAATGAAAGTATAACCTCTTTAGACTTGTATTGAATATTATT